GGGTTATTTTCAGAGGTTTTATTTTTTTCTTTTGAAAAAAATTTGTTAGAGAGCATATGTGCTCACTAGAGAGTGAGGGAAATTGAAAGAGCAACCCCAATGGAGACAGTTATACCACAATTCCTTCTCCATTTTTCCTTTCCAGATTTTGAGCATATGTACACACACGCATGCACACACACACACACACGCGCGCTCACGCCCTTCATATTTCAAGCCACTGGGTCTGGGACTTGAACCTGGCAGTCAGCCATATGGGTGGGGTCCGGCCACCTTAACCATCACACCACCGGTTGGCCCAAGTTTTGCCTATTCTGCATACAGTTGCTAGGGACATTACCCAGGGTCAGTTTCCAGGTGGATGATGGATGGGTGCCCATGAGCGGAATAGCTGGGTCAAAAGATTAGCATGCTTTTAGTAAGAACAACCAAACCTTCCCCCAAATCTCTTAATCTCTCTTCAAACAGGAAGAATAAACCTACTCTACGGGGTGAGGTCGTTGTATTTAACGGGTCCTAAAGTCTAAGGCTTCAAACCCTGCGTGCGGAACACAGTGGGCGCTCGGCTCACGCTGCAGCAGCGGGGAAGGGCGAGCTCTACGGGAGGCGCCGGTCGCCCAGGCCCGGGCAGGAGAGGCGTCCTACACGGCACAGGGCGGGCCTTGCCGCGGCCCCAGTCTGTCCCGCGGCCCGGCATGCGCACGCCTGGGTGGGCGCTCGTGCTCCCGAGAACCTGGCATGCCGCCCGGCGTTTACTGCGCACCGGGTGCCAGGCCCCGAGGACGCAGGAGCGAACGACAAAGACCCTCACCCCTTGGAGCCGGGAGAGGAGGAGCTGCTTCACTTGGGAGGCGTGAGAACAGACTCCGAAGGCGCGAGGACTCGGGGGCCGGCCGGACCCTGAACTTCCCCTGGAAGTTGCTGCCGACGAGCAAGGGAAAGAAACAACCTGCTCCCCGGCGCCCCCAGCAGGACACCAGTCGGACCCCAACCCAGGCGCAGCCACAGGTGGCGTCCGCGAAGCCCGGCCCCACTGCCTGGCCAATGGCAGGGCGCCCCCGCCCCCCCCCGCCCCCC